GGCCCAGGTCACAACGATTGTGCTGATGAGAGACACCGTTCATAGAAAAGATGTGACTTGCCCACGGTCCCACAGCTGGCAAAGTGGCCAAGTCAAGACAAACTCAGGTGCTCTAGGTCCCATGCCTCTGAGGCAGGGCCATGACAGGGACGTCTTGGGGTGGGCCCAGAGGGTGAGAGAGGGGCTACCATCAGGCACCTGGGAAGGTGGGCTGTACCCTGCTCCTTCCTCTGGTGGGGTGGAAGGGGATGGGCACCGAGGCAGAATCGGGGGGTCAGAGGGGAGCCCTGGACAGATGCTGAGAGCTCCAAGCACCCAGACTGTGTCAAGCCACAGCTCTAGGGGCAGACAGGCCTGGGTTCAAATCTCAGCTCCTCTATTTACTAGCTGTGTGACTTCAAGCAAGGGACCCCACCTCTCTGAGCCTGCTCCAAACACTGGTTAGGTGCATTCAGTAAGACTGTGCTTGGCACACAGTAGGTGCTCCGAAAGTGGTAGCTGGTGTAGTGAATTCCTCGCCAGCCTCCTCCCTCGAGCAAGCGTTCCTGGGAAGACATCATCCGTGGCTGGGAAACCTTCCTGCCAGCCCACTGCGCTTATCATTAACATATTTCTCATAGCTCGAGAAAGGTCCAGAAAGCTCTGTCTAGAATAAACAGAAGCTGGGCCCACATCTTCCAACGTCAGGGCCTGCTAAGAGGCAGACCAAGGAAATAACCACTGTCCCCATTGTCCCCTGGGGGTGGAGCAAAGACGAGGTCCTGGGTGCAGAGGGTGCTGGGGACAGAGGCCTGAGCCGTGCTGGGGCCCATCAGAGCGAGCAGTGGGTGGGGCTGAGAGCCCAGGCCACGGCGTTGGCAGCCCCAGGCCGGGCACACAGTGGCCAGAGCAGTGCCCGTACCTGTAAGGCACATCCTCGCATGGCGCCCATCTCACTCCCAGTCGAAGCCCGGGTCAAGGTCTAGCCCCTCTCGTGCTCCCCCACCCCCACTCGCTCTGCTGCAGCCCCGTGGGCCCCTCCTCATTCCGTGGCAGCCCTCCAGGCTGTAGCACTCTCTGTTCCCTGTCTGGAATGCCCTTCCCCTCCCCCACATCCTTCCAGAGGCTTCCCTGACCACCCTATCTAAACTAGCAGCCCCATCGCCCTCTACCTCGTCGCCTTGTTTCGTTTTGTCTTATGGCTTGCAGGTGCCTGATGTCGTGTTTTGTACCCATTTGGTTTGTCACCGATCTTCCCAACAGAATGCAAGCTCCATGAGGGCAGGGGCCCGGCCCCGCTGACGGCCTGTCTCCCAAACGGCATCTGGCACACGGCACACTCGACGCATATTTTTTGGATGAGTGAACACATGCTTGGCTGAATTCGGGCTCCACAGTTTTCTAGCCTGTGTGGCATTGGGCAAGTCATTGTCCTTCTCTGACCCTCCCGGTGCAAAGGATAGGAGACACCCATCTCGTGGGGTTATTGTTTCAACTAAATAAAATGGCACAGGAAGAGTGACAGGAGCTGACGTGGAAGAGGAGCTCAGTAGATGGCAACCAGAATGACTATGATTATCACCAAAGGTCTCGGGCTGTCACCTGCTCGCTGCGAGGTCTCGGGCAAGTTGAGCTCTCTCTGAGCTCAGTCTGCCTGTCTGTCGAGGGTGGCAGCAGAAGTGCCCATCCCCCACGCGAGGTTGTTTGTCGGATGCCCAGGCAGTGTCCCTGGTAAAGCACCCAGCAGGTCTGCGCACAGTGGGCCCTCACCCAGGGGAGCTGCTGCTGTCCTGGAGAGTCTAGGATTTGAATACAGCCCCCCCCCACCTTCTTATCCTGTGATCTTGGAGAAGTGGCTTAATGTTATCGAGCTCGGGCTCCTCATCTATAAAATGGGGATAACAATGGCACCTTCCACACAGGGATCCTGAGGACACGGTGACATTGCGCACCTAGAGGGTTTCACAAAGCTCTAAGGACGCGAGTAGTGACAGGCAGGAGGGCAAGCCACAGACCGCAGGACGGGATCCAGGGGCGAGGGGAGGCCCCTTCGCAAGGCAGAGAGAGAGGACAAGGGGACCCAGAGCCACCGTGCCACACAAGCCCTGAGAGGCCGCAGAGCAGATGCATACCTCCAAGGAAGCCCAACTCCCTCCCCAGCCAGGAGCCCGCAGAGACACACCCCTACCCTCACCCCCACACCCCTGCCCCTCTTCTCCCTAGGGTCTCCCGGGGACCTGTCCTGGCCAGCTTTGGAGGGCAGTTTTCAAGGGAGTTGGGTGACAGCCTCAGGACCCCAGAGGAGGTGCCTTCTGCCCCTCAGTCAACCTCCCATCCTACCAGGAAGACAGACTAAAAGCCAGGGGGAGAGAAAAGACCAGAAAACACTTTCCCTCCCCAGCCTGACTGCTCCCACGTGTGCCCCCCAAACTTCAGGCCTGGGGACTCGCCGACCTCCAATCTGCTTTCAACCCAAGACTACTCCGGCCTCTCCCCACATCCTGGGGCAGGCCCTGGGAGAGGGGGCCTTGCAGAATGGGTTCTTAGAAGTCACCACCGGACTCCTCAAGCTCCAGCCCGCGTGAGAGTTTCAGGGAGAAACACCAGGTCCCACACCCACCTGGACCCTCCCGCCGCACCCCTCGCTCAGTTCGTGCCTGGCAGGAACCGAGCGACTCACTCAATTACTCCCTGGACTGCAAGCTCCACAAGGCATGACTTCTTGTCTGTTTTGTTCCTTAACGAACTTCCAATAACTAGAAGAATGCCTGGCACTTCGTAAGTGCTAAATAAATATATGCTGAATGGATGACTACATTGATAAACCAGCGAAGGAAGCAATAAATCAGTGAATTACTAGAAGTGAAGTTCCTTGCGGGCTGGAATTTTTTTACCCGTGTTCTTTGATAAATCCCCAGGGCCTAGAATCGAGCCTTGGCACCTGGGAGGTGCCAAGTAAAGGCATGTGAACAAATGATTAGATCAGTCACTGAATCAACGACTCATGAGAATAGAATCTCTCTAAAGGAAAGGATTTCTGTGTGTTTTTAAGACTGTCTTCTCAGTGCCTAGAACAGTGCCTGGTACACAGCGGGTGTTGAGGGAATCCCTGAATGAATGAAGACTGCACGAGCAAGGCCCCAGCTCTCAGTGCAAGGACCACGGACCGAGAAGCGTGAGACACCAAGGGGCCACCCTCAGCCCCCCTGCCCCAGCCAGCACTCGCCTCGTGGTGTTTTAAATAATTTGTCTGTTGTTTTTAATTGTTGAGGCAGTAATACTTGGTTCATGAAACTGCAATATACAGAGAGGTGAAATAAATAGCTTATATATATATAATATATATAATATAGCTGGTTTTAAAATATTCCCTTATCATTGGTGTACTAGGTCACGTGAGTCACGGAAGGTCGATAGCAGCATCCTCCAGAACTGTGAGCAATGCAGGGTCACCACGATTGGACGAGGCCGTCTGTCGTCGGGAGGTCGAGGCGCGGAGAATTCCCAGGGGCACGCCTTCCCTGCGCGGTGTCTCGGGACAGCTTGCAGCAAACAATAAATAAATGACTGCAAACCAGAGAGCGATTTTTGTTGGAATTTGGAACAGGGATAGGGATTGGGAGAGTGAGGAAAGTTGGGGGGAGGGGGGTACTACTTTCTTTGCTTTACTTTTTTTTCTTTCTTTTTTTTTTTTTTTTTTTTTGCTTTCAGAACCTTTGGGAAAAAGGACTTTGGTTTCTCGGAGTGTTGGTTTCCTCATTCAAGTCCTCCTCTGGGGACGGACGAGTTTGGAGCTGTCTGTTCCTAGAGAGGACGAGCACCTGTGGGTTGACAACAGTCCCTCTGTGCGAGTCTTTTGTCATTGGGGGTTTCAAGTCAACAATGAAATCCTTATCACCCCTCCCCCCAAGAGTTTTGGTTCAGTTTTTGTCTTCTTTTAAACACAATGTACAAAAATAGAGCTTCTTCCTTATTTTTCATGTAAAAATATTCCTCTGGTGCAGTTCTCTGGGAGGTGAGCGTGGCCAGGGCGGCCTGGGGTCTGCGGCGGCCGGCCTAGCCGGGGTGCGTGGGGCGGATCCGGCGGGACCTCTTGGTCACCGTCGTGTACTTGAAGGGTTTCTGCAGCTCTGCCTGCCCCTTCGGGTAGCGCTTCATGAAGTGCACGTCCTGCTGGTTCTCCCTCGTCTTGGGGCCCTTCCGTGGCCGCCCCTTCTTAGTGAAGCCCACGTACCAGCCAGAGTACTTAGCTGACATCAGGGCCGTGTAGTTGTTCTCCAGAACCTTCTCGATGAACACACACTCCTTGCTGGTGCCATCGGGCTGTAGGGGAGAGAGGAGGAGTGATACAGGAAAAATTATTCAATGATACTTCTTAAGACATGGTAAAGTCTTAAGAAGACTTTATCAAGGACCACTGCAGTGGGGACAGGGACCGCTGCGGTGGGATTTTGCGGTGAGGCAGGGAGATTGGGCCCAGCTCTGAGTACGGCACAGGCACGGGGGAACTGATAGCCAAGGAGCAGGGTGGGGTCAGTGGGTGGAAAGTGACTAGGAGGAACATCAGGAGTAAGGGGGGTTCTTGCTGAGGACAGGCCAGGGAGATCAGACTCACCTGGGGATGCTGGAGAGTGAGGAACCTGATCAGATATCGAGGGTGATCAGACCTCAAGGGTGGAGGGTTCCTACTAAACTGACTTAGTAGGGTTCTTGCTAAACTGGATTCTACAAGGAAGTGATGGGCCTAAGACAAGGTTCAGGAGCCTGACTGAAGTTTGGCCAAGCAAAGGCTCTTTGTCAAGAGAAGGTGGGAAATGGGACCCCAGGTGTAAGGGGCAGAGCACTATGGAGAGGGCCTGGGCAGGTGGCCCTGGCTGGGCAGCACAGCAAAGAAGGCCTGACTTAAGCCTTTCACTTCCTGGGTCTGTGGAATAAACTTTTGTCATTGGCCCCTGTATCTTTCTCCACTCTCCAATTAGGTAACAGACTCCCACTATAATTCTGGAATCCACTCCTTCCTCAACTCTCCACCCTCACAGCCACCTCATCCCTACTAGAGCAATAGAGCCCGACCTAGCCAATCAAAACATTACTTCTCAGTGAACTAAAACATTAGTTCTCAGTGATTGGTTCATAGGAGGGCATGTGACCCAAGCCATCCAATCAGAGTGTTCCCTGAGACCTTTGCATAGGCAACCTCAAACATAGGTGGATTTAAACTCGCAGAGTATGTAAGGCTGAAGAAGAGGCAGCCATTTTACCACCATGAGGGGGAATCCTGTCTGACAGTGAAGCCAACACAAATGAAGCAAAGACAAGAGAAAGAAAATAAGAGAAACTAAGTCCTGGTCATGTAGTTTGGGATCTGGATCCAGCTACATCCAAAGCTCAAGTTACCTCACTGTTATATGGGCCAATAAAGTCTCATTTCCTTTAAACCAGCTCATGTTGTGTTCTATCAGAAATGAGTCCTGACAGATTTGCACAAAACCTGATATTAAGTCAACTACTCAATTATAACTCAACTCCACTGTGATATAGTTAAATATAAATTACATTTCATGTGGGATGTGGTACATTAAGATCTATGAACTCCTTGGGAGCCTAGGTATGCCAGGCAAGAAGCACCAGGTTTCGAGTCAGAAGCTGAATGATCTCTAACACTTCCTTGAGTAACCTCAGACCAGTTAAGTCCACTCTCTAAACCTCACATTCCTCACCTACCAAACATGAACAATGACCTCCACATCACAGACGTGTTGTGAGGAATGATGCTTATAAATAAGGCTGACACACAGCAGGAACTTGCTAGATTATTCTAAGCAGCTGGTCCCGACAGGGTCTGATCCGACAGAGGCGGGTGGAGAGGCAGGGCTTTGAGTCTCCTCCTCGCTCGATGGGGAAGAGTGGGAAACGCACAAAGTTGGAAGGCCTGAATTAGCTGCACTTGAGTTTCCAACTAACATCTCCAAATTTAGGCCGGGCCCACTCCTCGTTACGGATGGATGCCCAGCCAAGTTGGAAGCCCAGCGGTCTGGCTGTGTGTGGAGACTGAGGTGCGAGTTCCAGCCTTTTGTTTGAAGTGGAAAACGGGCTGGAGCTTCCAGGAACGTTCACCTTTGAGTGGAGGGCAAGCTTGGGCCCTGCAGACAAAGTGCTGAACTTTGCAGAGAGGGACAGGCAGGGTAAGAAAACACTCTCTGGAGAATGAGATCTTTTGAGGAGGCTGCAGAGCAGACGGGAGTGGGCCTGGGAGACAATGCGGGACCCAGAGGGGGGTGCGGGTGGGGTGAGCAGTGAGGGAAGCCAGGGCAAATGTGCAAGGCAGGTAGAGGGGAGTGGGCCTGGGCTGTAGGTCCCCCATGGAAAATTCTGGAAGCTGCCTATCCAATCTGAGTCCAAATTCTTCACATGGTCTAAACAGAACAGTCAAACAAAACTGAACAAAAGCTACATCATGCTGCATCCCCACCCCAGAACACCTGCCACTGCCCAGAAAACTGCTTTCAACCCTCAAGGTTCAGTTTCAGTAACTGCCTCCTCTGCGAAGCCTTCCCTGACTGCCATTTATCTCCCTGGGAAATTCCTCTTCTTCCTTCAAGACTCCATTCAAGCATCCAGCTTTATTGGGCTCACATACTCCATCTTCTGAAGCCCACTCCCCACCACACACACACCAGGACAGAGCAATTCTGCATCTGCCTGCCTCCTAATTAGCCAAGGAGCTTCTTGAGGTCAGGACTCTTTCTTAATTGCTCTCACAGCTGAGCACGGGCCTTAGCCCAAGACAGGAGTGCCCCGAGCATTTGGGGTTGAATGGATGAGAGTTTCACTAGGATGGAAATGGTGGGACGACACACTAAAGGGGTTTCCTCCTAAAGAACACGGACTCTGCCTCCCAGATCCTTCGAGCATGTCCCAGAGACTGCCATGAGCTGTAGGAGGCCCCTCCTGGGGGACGCACTGACTAGGGAGACAGTGAGCTAGGGCTGGAGATCTCTGCCTGGCCGCCTGGTCTCCCCACGCATTCATTCACTCACTCACTATTTACCGACTGCCAACTGCCAGCCAGTATTTCTATATCCATTATCTCATTTCATCGAGTTGAACTGGTTGAGGTCAACTCTACCTGGTAGAAGAAAACAGAGCTCAGAGAGGCAAACAGACTTGCCTAAGGTCATGGAGCTTGCAAGGGGCAGACCTGGGGTTTGACCTTGCACTAGGCACTTCTGCTCACTTCTCCCCTGCCCAATTCCAGAGAGACCCCCAAGGAGAGAGGCCGAGGATGAGGAGGGGCTGCCTGTCACACATCCCGCCTCTCCCAGGCCCACACAGCCACCACTGGCACAGAGCGAGGTTTGGGATGTGCAAGGAGCTGCCCAGTGCCCAGCTCACAGGCTCAGTGCATGTCTGGGTTTACTTAAGATGGGTGAGGAGCTGGGCTTTGGGCTGAAATTTACCACCCTTGGGAACCAGCCTTGGGGCTTATGATAATCACGGGTTCTGCTCCATGACCTCAGGCACAGCAGGCTGCACCTGGGCTTGACCTTGCCTCTGTGCCTGGCTCCCTCTGTGGCCCCGCTCATCACATGCAGAGACTTCAAAATACCTGTGCTTGGGCCCCACCCCCAGAAATTCTGACGTGATTGGCTCGGGCAGGGCAGGGCATCAGCATGTAGAGGGTGAGGGAACAGCCCGGCCCAGAGCCCTGGTGATTTAGCAGAATTTGATCTTCTCTCCTCTACTACCACCTCCAACCTCCTTCTTCTCAAACTGGTGTCCTAGTCCTTTTATTTGATCTGAAGACCGAATCCAGATGACTTCATTTGGCCCCTAGATCCATGCTTACCTGCAACTAGAACTACTCCCTAGACTCTTTTAGCTACATAAGCCCAGAATTCCCTTTCACTTAAGACAGGCTTCAGTCACTTACAACCAAAGCCATCTTAACAAAGATGTGCTGGTGGAGAGGGCACCCCCTGCCCTGCAAGGGTCTGTGGCTCCATGTTGCCCCCAAAGGACCCATCACTGATCACAAGGTGGGGGCAGATGAGAAAAATGTGACTCTGGTTGAGTCCTCAGAGATGGGGGGAAATGCCTAGCACATAACGCTAGATGCTCACCGCTGTTCACGGACTAAAAGGAAGTGCTGCCTCCTAAGGCAGGTGGGTGTGGGCTCCAGAGAGGTGGCAAGGAGGAGGGGAGCCACGTGAGCATGCAGGGGCTTGGGGACAGAGCTTTGGCATTTGACAGTACAATGCAGCAGAGGAGGTAACTACAGCCAAGGGTCTGAAGCATCTGGAAGGCTCTGTTGAGGGCTCAATGTGGGTGCCCTGCTGTGGCCAGAACAAGGTTGGCACCCAGGGACAAATAAAATAGCCCAAGGAAGATGTCCCACTGAGCCACTCCAAAGGAGCCAGAGGCCAGGGGTTCCCACAAGTGAAGAAGTGACTTGGTGACCTGGCTTCAAAGTAGAAAGGAAATAGCATTTAACAAGTGCCCACCGAGGGCCTACATTGTCTCCCCGCTGAGGATCAGCAAGGTCAGAGCACTTGGACTCACTTGGCCTGATGTGGACAATTCCAGCTGTAGGGTAAGAGTCAATCACGGAAGGCAAGAACCATATTCCTATTTCTTTGGTGCCCCTGTAGCCGTATGGCTGGTACACAGAGCATAAACAGATGGATCCAGAATCTGCCCTCCATGAGCTCCCAGACTGGTGGGGATGCAGGCACAAAGACAGACAGCGACAACCCAGGTAGCAGACAGGCAACCGAGGGCAGCTCAAGGGGCTGTAGGCTCTGGGGTGGGTGGGCAGACAGTGGGGTCAGGGAAGGATGAGCCAGGACTCAGGGCAGATGGACAGAGGGAAGGGCAGCCCAGCGGAGCAAACGGCACACCCCATCCGGGCAAGTGTGGTCCACACTGCCGCGCATCTGGGGCATAGAGAAAGCCCCCAGGGCCTTCGTTGCCCACATCAAGGGGTGGGGGGAGAACCGGTGGGTGGGTTTTGAGCTTGGTGGGGGAGGAGGGCCGGAGAGACCTGATCCCCTTTGTGCTTTAGAAAGCCGAAGGTGGGCAGGGGGAAAGGCCTGGAGGTGGAGCCTGTGGCTGGGGACCCACAGGTGAGGTGGCGGGAAGACAACGTCCAGAAAGGTGTGAGGCCAGACAGTGGCAGTGGGAAGGGCCTCCCAGGACCTAGGGCCTGACTAGGGGGTTGGCAGCGGGTGGGCCGCCGGACAGGTGATGGGCGAGGAAGGCGATAGGCCGGCTCCCCTGCTCCGGGAGCCCAGCGCGGGGAGCCGGGGAGGCGGGCAGAGGCCCAGTCTGGACAGGTGGATCAGGGGGCGCCGTGGGAGCCCTGGGGTCCGCCCAGAAGAAAGGAGCCTGGCAGGGCGGCGGGAAGGAGGGAGGGAGGCGGCGGAGGGCCTCGCAGAGCGCCAGCTGAACCGTCACCAATATTAATGACGGGAGCGAGGGCGAGGGGGCAGGAAACCGGAGCCGGCTCCTGTGGAAGCGGTGACTCAGCGGCCAGCCCGCGGGCGGAGGGCGGCCAGCGGCGGGGAGCGGCCCGAGGGGACAGGGCTGCTCTTTTGACCCCGGACGGCCTCCTGGGCCACGATGCCGGGAAGGCGCGGGCGGGAGGGAGGGCGCAGGCCGCGTGGGCACCGGGCACGGCGGTGCCGCCGCCCCTCCTAGAAGGGAAAGGAGGGAAACGGGCTGAAACGCAAAGCAGGTTGGGCCTGGGAGGCGGCCCAGGCGGGCAGGAGAACAAAGCGCCTGGCGCAGGGCTGGGCTGGGCCGCGCCGCCACAGGAAACGGCCGGCCAGGCCAGGGGGACCGGCCAGGCCAAGCCAGGGGGACCGACCAGGCCAGGGGGACCAGCCAGGCCAGAGGGACCGGCCAGGCCAGGCCAGGGGGACCCGGCGCCCGCGCCCCGGCCCGCGGCCCCCAGCCCCGGCCAACCGGCCTCACGACGGCGGAAAGTGAATCACTAATTAAAACCACTCCTCGGCATCCCGGAGCCCCGCTGCTCTTCGGTTACTATTATTTTGCTCTTTGAGCAGCTTCAGTCGGTGTGGGCAGTGCGGCTGGAATCTTTTCCTTCCAAATTGGGCTTCGAATCCTGCCTAGCTCTAGCGTGGGACCCGGGACAAGTGCCCCGGCATGGCCAAACCTCAGCTTTCTCATCTGTGAAACAGGATGGTAGTGGTACCAGCCTCGTGGGATTATTTGGGAACGTTTTTGCTGGGTGCCAGACAGAAAGTAGGTGCTCAGTTAATGGAGGCTATCGTTGCTGTTATTAACAAACAACAATGCAGCAATACCTGGCTTGGGTCCCGCCTGTTCCACTCCGCCAGTCACACGGGCATAGGGAAGGGGGAGACGAATGAGAATTGGGAGAATTCAAGAAATCAAAAACACAGCTTCAACAAGACTGTGGTCATCTCCCCCACTCCCAACAAGGTGTAATGAACCACAAATAATCAGCCAGCGCCTTACCACCAAGCAGGAGGGCCCAAGCCCCTTGGGATCTGGGTTGACCCTCCACCCCCACTCTACCTGTCTGGGCAGAGCCCTCCACCCCAGTTATATGAGCTGGACATGGGAGAGTACAGTCCTTGCAGAGAGAAGGGGACAGAAAGCATGACTGTGTCACAGAGCTACTGCCAGTAACACCTTTCACATGCACACCCAAAGGAAGCAAGTGCATGACCTTCAACACACAAGCACACCCAGGAAAAAAAGAAGGGTGCTAAGAAACAGCTTCGTTGGAGACTCAGAGTCCCCAGCACTTGGGGCCACCCCACCCCCGCCCTAATTTGTTACATGCAGCTCCCTTGCCCTTTCCAAAGTAATAAAATCTTCCTGAAACGCTAGAACCATGAGGCCCAGCGCTGACGGGTGGCCGGGTTCCGGAGGCTGCTGCTGCACAGAGCTGTAAACCCCTGGCGATTGTTAAAATGATCGCTGCAGCCACAGCTCTTGGCCTGCTGGCTGTCTGTTCCCAGACGTCAGGGAGGCAGGGACACGCAGGCAGGGTGCCCCAGAGCCCCTCGAGGGTTCTCCCACTACTGAGCGAGCCAGAGCTCCACACCCACCAGGAGAAACCAGGGCCCAGTGTGCACTCTGAAGTCGCAGCCATGGATGCCTCTGCCTGGCTGGCCGCAGGTGCCAGGGCAGAGAAGGAGAGGTGCAAGGAAGAGATTCCAGTGGGGCACTCGCACTCTGCACGCATGCGCTCTCTCTCTCTCTCTCTCTCTCTCACACACACACACACACACACACACACACACACACACACTGGGGCTGACAGTGCTCTGGACACTTTGTTCCAGCTCTCCAGAGCTGCCAGTGGGGGACCCACAAGTTCCCTGGGAATTCCAAGCCATCACTCACCTTCCCCACGAGCTTGCCTTTGCGATTCATACACAGGTAGAATTCCGTCTCCTTGCCCTTGATCCGGACTTGACTACCGAAGGTGTCTGTCTCCACTAGGAGCTGGGCTTCGAAAGGCAGAAGGAGAACAAGACATGTTTTTTAACCAAGGTGAGTGGCTTGGTCGAAAGGCTCAGCAACATGGTCCCTGACCCCATGCCTGGTCCCTCACTCCCCCCAAATCAGGCATGGCTATTAGAGTACCCTGTCCCTCAGGCAGGAGGATGGGAGCTGCTGTCACCTGTTCCCTTCCCTCCAGCCTCTCTCGCCTCCACTTGGGATGCAGATGGCTCCAGCCAGAGGGGAGTTCTGCCCCCCATGGCTAAATACCAGTGTGCCCCTCTCCCCCGCAGCCCCCCCACCCTTCCCAAGCCTTCAACTCCATTCCCCAAAACAGGACAAACAGCCATGCAAAAAACCCATTCCCCAAAGCAGGACAGACGGCCATGAAAATAATCGCGGAGGAGGAGCAGGCCCTGGGCTAAGGGGTGGACAGATGCCCATGCATGCGCACACACACGCCTGGCCTTTGGGGACGCCAAGCTATTTCCTCCAAAAGTTAGGCCCCAGGCCCATTCCTGCAGGGCAGACATCCCTGCTAGTGCCCGGCACCTTCGCCCTGGCTGTGCAGCAGCAAAGCCGCAGGCAGTGCGGGGGAGCCCCTGGGGAGGACTGCCGTACTTAGGAGATTCCACTGCCCTCCCTGGTGGCCTCCAAAACTGAAGGGTAACTAAGTCCCAAAAGCCCAGAAGTCCTGATCAGGACCCGATTCCCCCTGGTCCAGGGTGGGAGACCCCACAGTAGACCATCCATGCTCCACAAGGCCTCCCTCAGGATGGGGGAGCTGATCCCTAAAGCCCTGACTGAGCAAGGACACCAAGTGGCCAAAGGGTGACTGTCCCCTGATTAGGCATGCTGTGTTCAAACCCCTCCCTCTCCCTCTGCCAGTCCACACCTTCTCCCTAGCAGGCTGCTGTGTGACTTTGGGTAGGCCAGGTACCTTCTCTGAGCTTTCTCTCCCCTCTGATCTTCAACCCCTATGCCTGGCTCCCCCTTTCAGCTGCTTTCTGCCTGTGACCCTCAATTCTGGCATTCCCTTCCGTGACCCTTTGCATCCCAGCACCCACCCTCCCTCACCCACAAAAGTTTAATTTCAGTGACAGGGGACTTCCTTCTCCATAACAAAAATCATAGCCCCAAATTCCTGAGTACAGTATCCTTGGAGCCACAAAGAGTGTACCTCAGTGCCCCTAAAACACACTAGGTATGATTTTAATAAAAAAATTTACAAATATAGACCCTGGTGCCCTGCTGTGAGAATTAAAACCATCTGGAACTCAAGATTTCCAATAATTAATCTAGCCCTCCTTTGACACCACTCCTAATTAAAATATGATACCCACCTTCCCAATGGGAGGAAAAAAGAAGAATTTACATAAAATTTAAAGATCTAACAAGAATTTAGTAACTCTAGAAACAGGAGAGGCACATTCTTCCCTCCACCTTCCCCCATCCCTTTTAAACACTGAGTCAGGAAAATTAACCAGTACCGAGATGGGGGGGTCCAAGCCCTTGAGCCTCCCTGTTCCCTTAATTCCACCTCCCGTGATTTCCTCGGTGAGCCCCTCCCCAGGCCAAACCCCGCAGCAGACTGGCTCTCTCCACCTCTGCCCAAAGCTCAGGCCCCCAGCGGGTGGGGATGAGTCCAGGTACTCCTGACGAGGGGAAATGGGGAGAGCTTTGACCTGCACAGATCTGCATGTGAATCCCTGGCTTCACTTGCCAACCTCGTGATCTTGGGCCTCAGTCTCCTCTCCTGTAAAATGGGGATAATCATCCTTCGACAGTTATAGTGAGAACTACACCAAGTGATGCTGTCAAGAACTTAGCACCCTGTTCTCAGAGGTCAGGGAGGGGTAACTCAGTAACCATTGTTTAAGTTTCCTAAAAACTGCAAAACCAAACCATTTTCCCAAAAGAAAAAAAAAAACCCACAATGGAAAGGAATCAGATGCAGAACAAAAGTAGAGGTGGAGCAGAACCCGCCTCCCTAGGCCTGGCCCTCTGATCTGAACTTCCTCAGCATCCTCCAGGGTTACCGGGTCCCACACCAGGAAGTGCAGCAGAAAATGCCTGGGGCTGGGACTCCCAGGGTCTGCTTCTGTTTCTGGCATTGCCATCGTAGGCTGGGTGACATTGAGCATGCCACAGCCCGCTCTGAGCCCCAGGTCCCTTGCCTGTGCAAGGGGGGAGGGCTCGGCCCTATTTCTGGCTCCCCCTGGGATTGGTGGGATTGGGGAGGAGGGTCTAGGAGAGGAGCAGGGAAGGGTGAAGCCACAGGGCTGGGGCCCAGGCTCCCTGGGTGGGTGCAAGGGAAGACTCCGCTTGGCTGCCCCCTCCCGCCACATGCCTGGGCCTCTGTCCTCAGAAGAGCTCCTGCTATGCACCACCCTTGGAGCCCACTGAAGCCACTCTCCCCATGCAGTTGGGCACCATTGTCCCCATTATACAGTGTAAAAACTGAGGTTCAGGAAAACAGCCCCGCAGGAGGGGCGGACATCAGGACGTCCTGCTGAGTTCCGGGCTCCCGGGGAGAGACAGGCCTCCGAGCACAACCCGCCGCCCCCCACCACGCCAGCCCTGGCTTTGGCTTGAGCTGTCCAAAGGGCCTGGGGCTGGGACGGACCCCCTCCAGCCCCTGCAAGCCTCGCCACCCCCAGCCCAGCGCAGAGAGGGTCTGCGCCCGGCGCCGCGCCAGGGGAGCCAGAAGTCTGTTCTGTCCCGACCGACCGGCATGCGAAGGAGTGACCTAGACTCTGCTCAGTGCATGACATCATGAGGAGGGAGCCGGGCCAGAATTGTGTAAAGTCTTTGGGGAGTAATAGCAGCGGCAGTTCTCAGAGAGAGAGGAAGAGAGAGGGGGAGAGAGAGGGAGGGAAAGAGAGGGCGAGAGACACTGCTCAGGCCGGTTTGCTGGGAGCTGCAGCACCACGCGCCCCTCCCAGGACCCGAGCCCGGATGCAGCTCTCTGGGGCTAGAAACCTCATCTGGGCCGGTCCGTCCACGTCCACGGGGCTGCACCAGGCCAGGCGGAGCAGGTGGTGACATGATCTCGCTCTACTCACCAGACCTCCTCAGCCCCCAGCCTGCCAACTCAACGCCCCTCCCCCGCTGCTCTCGCCCGCCCGTCTCTCCTCCACACGCAGCCAGAGGAATCCTTTAAAACCTAAATCGAATGATGCCTCTTCCCTGCTAGAAACCTCCTAGGGATCCCCAACCCGCTTAGGAGAAAAAGCAAACTCTTCACGAGGACCCAGGAGGGGCACCTAATCTGGCCCTGCGACCACCCCCACCTCCCTTCCTTGCCGCTCTCTCTGACAGCCCAAGCACGCTCCTGCCACAGGGCCTTTGCATTTGCCGCTCCTCTGCCTGGCGGTTGCTTTGCCCGGGGCTCCCCGTGGAGGCCTCTCGTCTCCCAAGCAGCCGCTCGGATGTTGCCCCTCAGAGAGGCCTTCCTGGACCACGCTGTCCAGAGTTGGCACCGTCCCCCGCGCCCCCAGTCCTGCCCTGCCCCATGCCTCTGCTCCATTTCCCCGAGAGCTCTTCTCCGAAACCTGTCTCACTGTCACTGTTCTGTCTCCGCCCAGCAGCACGGAAGCTCCACGAGGACAACGACTTGTCGGCCTGACTAGCCACCGCGATGTCCAGCACCTGTCCCAGCCCGCACCTGGCTCTCCGTGCGTGACCAGTAGGTCGGTCCTAGTAAACACACAGACAGCCCTGTGACGTGGGGACCGCGAGCACCATCCAAGAGTTGCAGAAAACTCACTCTCGCTCTTGATTCAGGAGGTGAAGGGCGCCCAAGGGCGCACAGCTGGAAAGAGCAGGGGACGGTGTGGACCGTGCCTGAGCCCACAGGCAATGCCCTTAACCACTCTGCTCCCACCCACCCACCCCAGCCTCAGGGACAAAGAGGAAAGCCTGTCCCTCTCTAGGCCAGCACTAGGTAACCTCTAAGGTCTCTGTAGGAAGATCAGTAACTCACACTTATCGGGCACTTACAACACACCGGCACGGGCCGCACACTACCTTTCATGCATTATCTCATTTAATCCTCACCACCACTCTTTGAGGTTAGGACCGTTGTTATCATCCCATTTCACAGGTGAGAAAATTGAGTGCCAAGGTCACACAGTGATGGAGCTAGAGTCAACCTCCGAAAGGCTGACCCCCAGTCTCGGTCTCTGCCGTCTACCCAAGCCCTCACGTCTCACCTGCCCAGTCCCTTTCCTGGGGGGCGAGTTCGTGGGCGCGGAAAGGGCAAGGAGGTCTCTTGAACAGAAGCCAGGGGAGGAGACGCCCACAGAGCACAGGGTGGGGCCCAGCCCTCCCCAGCCCCACTTCCAAGTGCCCTTGAGGGAGGGGAGGGTCCCCAGGGTGTCGCCGTGAGGAAGACACCTTCGAGCTGATATGGGAGATGGGGAGCCCTTAGGAGCACCCAGCGCTGGGCTCAGGCCACGGCCAGAGCGGCAGGGAATGTTCCAGATCTGGGCGAGGGGAGGAAGGGCTGCATGCAACCAGAGGAGAGAGAACACAGGCCGGAGAGCCCAGGGCCAGCACAGAGCAGGGGCCCTGGGGCCTCTAGGAGGAAAAGGGGCCCAAAGGACCCGCCCCTCCTCCAGCAGCCGCAGAGAACGGCGAAGGTAAATGGGGCGTCCGAGAAAGGAGGCTGGAGAGAAAGCTCTTTCTGCAAAAACCCACCCTGCCGCCCCACCTCGCCCCTTCCCTTAACTGCTTGAAGTGACACTAAGTAAAAATAATGATAAAGCTAACACGGACGTGAGCCTCTGCCGCGTGCCTGCCCGGCGCTGACAGCCTGAGCCCGGCAGAGCTCGCGTGGGCTCGCAGCAAGCCTGTGAGGGAGGAACTGTCGCGCCGCCGACAGGCGCAGACACTAGGGCAATTACGCCATGAACAGAGCAGTCGAGTCACCTGCCCAGGGTCACACAGCAGGGCCGGGCAGAGTAACTCCAGAGCTGTCTGAGACAGAGATCAAACTGAGGTATGA